TCTTTCCTTAATTTGGATAAAAAAAAAGTCGGTGGCGACTCTTGCTTACCGCAATATTTGCGAACACAAACGTAAAACCAGTATAAACAGTCGGTTCTGCCACCGTATTAGAATATGTAATTCATTAATAAGGACAACCAAAAGTCTGACATAAAGATAAATATTTGAATCAACTAGATAAATTACAAATGAAAATTCGAATGAACAAAAATCTTCTCCGCCTGAACATGTCACTTTAGATGGTGCGCCTTTTAGCCTCAGCATTTGGGGGATAACAAAAGAACTCGATCTGACCATATTGCATGAACTCGACTATTCCTTCGTCAATTAAGTCATGAATCTTATGTTTCAACGCCCAACAGTTGTCGGTGTCATGCCCAGGACTGTTGGAGTGGTATGTGCACCTTACCTTAGGATTGTGACAAGAAGAAGAAGTATTGCGCTTTTGAGGAGGATCCTTCAATTTACCAGCTTGGCCTTCAACATGTTTTGAAATGCTTAAACCAATGACATATTGATTTTGATAAATCGTCTTTTGGGTGTATCCTGCTTACACTGATTCCCCTGTTGTTGTTGGTGAGGTTGTTGTTGGACTTGCGATGTAGTAGCAATCCGAAAGGCCTACTTTTAATCAAGCCAACTTCCTGTCTCATCAGAGGCTGATTAATGACTTGTTTCCCAGTTCTAGTTGTTCTTCCCATATGGTTGTATTTGTCTTGATGAAGTTTACTGATGAGAGTTCTCAACTCTTCTTGCCCCTGAGCTAGGTTTTGGATAAGAGCCGTCTGACCCATCATCTGGATTCTCATCGTTGCCATCTCAGCATGCAATTGTTCCAACTGGTCATCCTTGTTGTCTTTAGGATTTTTCTTGGTCATGCTCTTAGTGAGGAGTACTTTCAATTCCTATTACCCCCTGGATAGGTTCAGGAACATTTCCTAGAATTGTGCATTTTAAGCTTGGAGATCTCTGACGGTCTATTCAAGGGCCATCTTATACTGAAATAAACAGTAAGTAGATGAGGAAACCTGTATCGAAAAACCTGCTTATGAAATGATGCATGATATGTGGATGCAATGTTTTCAAGGGCCTTAGGGGATTTAAATTTGCTAGCCAAAAAAGGAAACAAAAACAAAGATTGCATTAATAAGTTCAAAAATTACAATTTCCTCTTGGGGTTACAATGAAAAGCAAAAGAGTCTCAAAAAGACAACAATATGAACTTCTAAAACCTATGATTCAAGTCTCCCATGGACTCTTCCTCTTTGTGTCGATGTAGGCATTCAGACTTTGCTCCTCGTGAAGTTGCTTGGTGAGATCCAACACTTTCTTCTCGCTTGCGTAGAATCGAGCTTCAAAGGTGACTTATTCTCCCTAGAGTTGAATCTGAGATCTCTGTAATTCTTCGAGGTCGGTAGGCATGTCTGGTGGAGAATGATATAAGGAATATCCCCTTCGGCAATGGGCTCCATAATCCCTGGTAGGATGGCTAAATATGGCATCCTGAGACTTTAAGCACGAGCTCGTACCCATTTGAGATAAGGCTCAAGAGGGATGGAATTCTTATGCCCCAAAGTCTTGCTATCAACCTTTCTTACCATGCCCCAAGCATGTACAAACCTTCGCGATATCCTTGAACATCGTTCTCATAGTCGAATATAATACCTTGAATGAGTGCGTCGTGAGGACCATCTCTTCGCGCATAGCCAAATTGTCGTAGAGCCAGAGAAAGGTTATAAGTAATACCTCCACTAATTCCTAAGAGTGGAACGTTAGGGAAGTCCCCACAACGGCCAAAGATAGTAATGTCCTCTAGAGATCGAGAACACCAAAATATATCAGAATAAGAGAGTGACATCATCCTTGAGACCAAATCAAACCTTGTTCATTCTTCAAAACTGATCGGGAAAGGTGTGAAATAAACCACCTAGATAGCAACGGTATGCGACACATAAGAGCCTCTCTCTTCCTCATGGTACGAGTGTGAAGAGTATGCAAAATGTCCCCGAGCAAAGTAGGCACAGGGTTGCGAGGGAGGAAAATTTTGGAAGTATTCACATCTATGAGTTGGTCTGGATTAGGGAACAGTACTAACCCATAAATTAGAAGAGCCAAGACTTCTTCAAAAGCTTGCAAATCCATAACCTCCCAAAATAGTCGAGCCTTCTCTAACAGAAACTTAGCTAGAAAATCCTCGACTCCACTTCTTGTTTCCCAATTAGCTACAATGTCAGACCTCTTCAAATGTAAGGCCTTGGCAATAACATCAGGTTTTGGAGTTCCCTCTAAACCAGTGAATGGCATTTGATCAAACACAAGTAATCCTAACAGTTGAGAGAATTCTTCCAATGTGGGCATCAATTGATAGTCGGGGAAGGTGAAACAATGATGCATCGGGTTAAAGAACTGAAAGAGCACACACATCATGCTTTTTCAAAGCTTGAGGTAGCCAAACTGAGTAGTCGACCATATCTTTTAGTGAAAGGAGAATATTCAGGAACCATTGATGCTAACTCTTTGAGTTGAGGAGGCATCTTTACAAATCTGATTCAAATGGTATTTCTACGAACGGAAGCCATATCCTACAAAACAGAACAAAGATAAATCTCTATGTCCTTGAAATGGTTTGTGAAAATGCTATGGCATGATGTTATGATGTCATGAACAAATAATCATACACAAACAAAACACACAAGGCCTTAGATTTAAGCTTGCATGAGGTTTATAGGTAAGTACTCTCTTGAAGTTTTAGTTGGTTCAACCTGTCCTAAAAGAAGTAATCGGGCTCTAAGGAATCTCAATATCATTAATCTTTCTTCATCGGGCATTGTTTCAACACAAATAATCTATTTTCACGACCGAAATATCCCGAAAGTCTGATCTCAATGAGTATAGTATCGAGTATCAACCAACTTTAGTATGCACCAAAACCGGCTATCTCACTACTTTCTAATGGCCAAGTTGTTCAACTAAGGTTCTACAATCAGTTAGTGGTTTATAACACCACTCAGCAGCCCCATATTCTCCTTGATTTAACTCAAGGAACACCAATACCCATAAATATATCGCATTAACGTAACTATCACTTCAACCATATCGGTCTATGCCGTACATTTTCCACGATCTATTGCTACTTACCTAATATGCCCCAGATCCGGGTATAGGATCTATAGAAGAAATAAACCCAAACATAACCCAAAAAGTAAAGCAAACAAGGAAAACAAGTACAACAAATAAAGGTGATCTAGCTCTTAAGGTAACCCCACTTTTAATATTATATTCCCCAACAAAGTCGCCAATTCTGTAATACGGTGGGAGAACTAACTTGGTGTTTTGCATTTTATCATAAATATTGTGGATAGTAAGAGTCGCCACCTATTTTTCTTTTATCCAATAGCAACAGTGGTAATTGGAGGTCATGACGAAGAGGCAAGCTGATATGAAGCAGCAAATGAGGCAATTTATGCAAGGATTTGGTGAAAATTAAAATGTTTGTGGTCAAGAACCAGTGGATGATGAGAACGAAAATAATTTTGACATTGACAATCATCCCAACTCAAATGACCCGTCAAATTAATTTTATTTTTATGTTGCTTTTACTTTTGAATTTGTGTAACATACTATTTAAACGTATTTAGTATATTAAATTTAAAAATATTAAATTTATAATTTTAATTTATTAATTTTATTATATTAAATTTATTTTATTAATTTTATTTTATTAAATTTATTAATTCATATAATTAGTATATTTATTTTATTAATTTAATTTATTAATTTACTTTATTAATTTTTATATTGTTTCAGAAATTAAATTTAAAAAAATAAAAGAATAATAATTACTGACGTAATTTCTATTTCGTTAAGTTGTGACATGTAAATCACGTCGCAACTTTTAACTTTAGTAGTATGTTTCTTTGTAAAAATAAATAAATTAGTGACATAATTTTTATGTCATTAATTAATAACATGAAAATCACGTCATAATAAAAGTTACTGCTCTGATCACGTACCTGCTACTACCGTAAGACTATTGATGGTGTAAAATTCTTTACACTTGCATTTCAATTAAATTATTAAATTTATTAATTGAGATATTTTTTTTATCAATAAAGTTTTTTACCATTTTTACCATAAAAATTATTTTATTTTATGATAATACCAACAAAAAAAAATTAGATATATCAACTTGCATTCACTAGTAAAGATTCCTGTCAAAAAGTTTGTTTAAAATTAAATATATATTTTTATGTTTATGGATTTTCTTAAAAACATTGAAAATCTGCAAAGACATGAACGAGGGATAAAATCTTTCTAAGGTGAAGATTTCAATCATAGATAAGAAACAATTTGAAGGTAGGGATGAGGATGAAGTTTATCCTCCACTCCACCCCTGCCGTAATAATTATTGGATATAATAATTAAAATAATATTTTAATATAAAAAAATTAACAAAGGTATACAAGAATATTCTAATAATATACTGTTTTTAATAATAGAAAAAGTAATGTTTGTATTATAGAAATATTAAAGTTTTTCTTAATTGAATTTATTAAATCAGATATTTTTTTTTTGAAAAAGATCATTAATGATTCAGATATTGTTCTGTCCTATCCGATTACAATATATTATAAACCCATTTTTGGCATTTAACCAATACAGAGCCTATTTAAATCCTAAAACAAAATCAATTAAATTTTTTTAAAATTAATTTCCATTTACATTGATTCCTTCTCTACAAGAATATTAATGATATATGATTATTTATAAGAAAAACATTACTCATATACCTACACAAATTTAAACGTCACTATACAAGTAACGTAACGCTCTAAACGACGTTAACTTTATTGTTCATTCACACAGTTCACACTTGAAACACAATCTCATAACTTAAAAGCATTACCTTAATTGTCAAGTTTCTCAAAAGACACATTCACACGTTATATATAAGCCCAAATCAAGTACATAATTTGCATAGTGAAGTGAAAGAAACAAAAATGGAGTGTAACAAAATTCAGTTAGTTGCAATATTGTCATTCATTTTTCTTGTTCAAAACATTCAAGGATGGGGAGAAGAAGGACACGCCATTACTTGTAAGATCGCCCAGGCTCGTTTGACCGATGCGGCCGCTGATGCTGTCAAACAATTGCTGCCTGCTTATGCGAATGATGATTTGTCAAGTGTTTGTACATGGGCTGATCGCGTCAAGTTTGCTCTTCGTTGGACGTCTGCTTTGCACTACGCCGATACTCCTCCTAAGCTTTGCAATTTCCAATATGCTAGTAAGTTTTGTTTTCGTTGATTTTTTGTCTCTATTATCACACAATCTGACATCTCAGCAGTTGGATGAAAATTATAATACATAAATTTTCGTCCCATTGATAAGATGTCAGATTTCACATTTCAATGACTATTATAGTGAAAGATGTATTTTAGCTAATTCAATGCGATTTGAACTTACCAATTTTTCTAAACATTCATTTAGGGGATTGCAAGGATTTGAATGGTGTGAAAGATGTATGTGTTGTTGGAGCAATTAACAATTACACTACTCAACTTCTTGACTATGGCAAAAAAGACACTCAATGTAATAAACAAAAACATTGCTATGACATTTTAAAACTGACTTTTTTTCTTCTTTATATCACTTTTTATAGGCTGACTAACTAAATTCTTGTTTCACAATGGAATCAGACAATCTTACACAAGCACTTCTTTTCCTTTCTCATTTTATGGGAGATGTCCATCAGGTATGTCTAACCACTACAAAGCTCTGGAAATTGTCACAAAAATTTCACATTTATGAATTTACCCCATCGGGAGATTGGGTAGATCTTAAACCTGACTCTTGATATCATGTTAAAAAATATACTATGTTAAGAAATGTGGGTGAGTCTAACTCATTCCTATAAAGTCGACTTCTAAGGTGAGGATTATCCCCACTAAATATATGTCCAGAATCTAATCTTAAATCAAAAGTTATAGATGTAACACCTGACGGAATGGAAAGTCGTGGAGAGTCGAGATTTGTGACCGCGAATCTCCCATATTCTAAGTTTATATCTTAATTAGAAATGAAGTTATGTTTGTTTGGTTATCTTTGCAGCCTCTACATACTGGTTTTACCACAGACAAGGGAGGAAATACAATCGATGTTCATTGGTACACAAGGAAACAAAATCTTCACCATGTGAGTGATGATTACAATTCTCACCATCATGAATCATCAGCTACTATTTCACTTTCTACTTTACTGACTGAGTTTTTACGATTTAGGTTTGGGATGCTAACATTATTGAAACAGCACAAGAAAGATTCTATGACAATAACATTGATGAATACTTCAAAGACATTCAAACAAATATCACGGTATTCTATTCAAAACCACTTTAATTTTCTCTACATATTTACAATCTTGCACAAAATTTTCACTTCAAATTTTTCTGATGCAGAAAACATGGTCAAATGAAGTAGCAGATTGGGAAGCTTGCAGTTCTGATCTGGCTACATGTCCAAATGTTTATGCATCTGAAGGTGTTAAGGATGCTTGTCAATACGCATATAAAGATGCTCCTGAAGATTCTACTCTAGAAGGTATTGCTAATCTCTAATACTTTTGTACTTCATGCAACTAAAGTTATTACATTTTCTGACTGTCATGAAACAATGTCTTGCAGATGATTACTTCCTATCGCGTTTGCCGATCGTCAGTTTGCGATTAGCTCAAGGAGGAGTTCGATTGGCCGCAACTCTCAATCGTATTTTTCAGTGATGCAACAGCATTTGTTATAGTAATCTTTGGAATTATGAAATAGTATTTGTGGTTGGTTTGAATTATGGTATTTTAAAAGAGAATAAAGTTTCTGTATAATCTTGTATAACATTATTTGATTCCCATTTTGTTTTATTTCAACATCAAATTGGGTAGTATCTATCTATATATCTACTACTTTTTGAAGTAAATTTTGTTTTTGGTTAGCTTAATATTCTGCTGGGGCAACAATCTGATAAGATAGAATACTCAGAGTTTGAGGACTTGAGGATTTAGTCACCTCCTAAAAGAATATTAGATGAAAAATGAGAATTGATAAATTCATTCATAACTATTACTGAAGCAAATGCAATGGTTTATAATGGGAATAGTAACTAAGTGCACGTTGTTTCTCAGTTTTGAAAATTTGTCACTAAAGAAATTATGAGGTCAAATTGCAGACTTAGTTGCTTTCTTTAAAACATTTTATAGCACTGTCTAAAATTGTGTAAAACCGTCACTCATCCACGACGTCTCTAACATATAACAACTTAGTTTTATATTATGCAATTATTATTTGCACGATAGATAGTGGATCTAAAAATATATTCATTGATGATACAAAGACCACTCAAATATGATATAAATATCATTTATAATATTTGGTATAAAAATAATAAATTTTCAATACACTTTCAAAAGGCAAAAAGGCCATTGGATACAAGTGGAGAATATAAAACAAAATTTCATCCCGATGACTCTATAGAACGACACAACACAAGATTAGTTGTACAAGGTTTCACTCAAGTTGAAGGTATAAACTTCATTGACACTTTCTCTCTCGCTGCTAAACTCACCACTGTAAGACTTATACTTGCCCTAGCTTCTTCTTTAAATTTGTATCTTCACTAACTTGATGTTCATAACGCTTTCCTCCATGGTGATTTGAATGAGGAGGTTTACATGGCTTTACCCAAAGGCATGCAACCTTCTTGATTTTATCGGTGATCACAACCTGTAATGGACCGATATATGACGTCTGCAAAGCTGGAATCAAGGAGGAGAAATGGTGTACCTGCAAGGTACTCTGACGCTCAAGTAAGTAAGAGTGCAAAAAGATACAAGAGAGAGTTTAGGGTTTTTAGTGAATATTGGATTACCAGACCCTCACAAGTGTGAGGGTTTATATAGTGTCCCCGATGCTTGACCTTTGGTTCCTATTTTTGAGCCTAGATATCAGGTTCCTCAAAATAGGTAAATGCCAGGAACTAGCCGTTGTAACGGACACAGGTTCTTGAAATAAGCTGTTACAACGAGCAGAAGAGTGTTTCACGAGCAAGCATGATTTCTGGTCTTTCCTGGGTGGCTATCCTCGTGCAGTTGGCAGGATGAGGACCAGCCTGTTTGGCGGGAAAAATTGACCTAGCAAACCCTGGGGATCAGTCGACCAGGTCTCCTCGGGTGAGGGGCAAAAGGGAAAAGTGTCCCTTCCATTAAGGTTTATTGGGCCAATGTTTATTGGACCTTCCTAAATGCAGAAGTGGCTTGGGCCATACTTAGCCATTGGTCCAGTCTAGAACAGGAGCCCCCAAGTCGTTGTTCATACGCATAAGAGTGATGACTTAGAGTCGGCCCATGTGTCGAGGAGGCGATAATTTCGTTGGCCCTAGTCGTATGAGACGAGGACATTTTAGGGTTACCCGAGGACATATGTGTACGGGGAATTTTAGACGTTGCTTCACGTGTTTGGTTTGCAGGGAGCCCAACAACTTATTGGGTTTCGAATGGTTGACGTTCCATGCTTGCATCGAGCCACGTTGTCATTAGTATGTAATGATGGCAGTCTAGGAGCTAGGGTTAATGATGACTCTTATGCTGCCCTAGATCACGCGTGCGCGTGCACGTGTGTTGAGGTCTCCCTATAAATATAGAAGAGGACAGTTCATCTGCACTTTTGCTTCTCGTTCTTCTCCACTCTCTCTGTTTTCAATCTTCACTCTTCTTCCGATGTTGCCGCCATGTGCTTCCGTAATGACATCGTCCAACCACACCTTCAGTTTCATCGACCACATATGTTTTTCATTTATCTTTACTCCATGTTAGCTTTTAGATTTTTTCCGTTTAGATTTCATGCTGATAGGTTGAACTTAGGAGGCGTGGGCGTTTGCTCCGGTGGTTGTTGGTGTTTACTGGCGGTTGTGCCATTTTCAGACACATCTCACTATTGAGAGTGAGTTTTAGTTAGGGATTCGCGTTCCTCAGGGCGTTCTGGTGCCGTGGTTTAGGCGGCGATGTGCTCACCGTTGATTAGTCCCATGAGTTCCCTGGCGAACTTATGAGTTTTCTGACGCACATTCATCGTTTCCTAGGTTTCTATGAATTTTCCGATGAATGTATGAGTTTTTCGGTGAATCTTTAAACGGAGTTCTGGGTTAGTATGCCGGGGAGATTTTCCTCGTTAGGGTTTTTAAGATTTGTCTGTTGGGGAAGCTTCAGATCAACCGAGTAGGATTTTATGTGTCCTCACTCGATGCTTGAGTAAGGCTTTTGTAGAGGACATCATTCTCGTGTCTTTGTACGCCCTTTCACTCAACTAGAGGAGGAAGGGTGAATTTGATTTGATCGTCGAATTCACCTTTGTCCTATTCTTTTGAGGTGAATATATATATATAGATTCTAATGACAAAATTATAGTCGAGCAGACCGAGACTTCGGGGGAAGAGCATACGATCTTGGACCCTAATGAGTGGATTGCTCCAGAGCCATGGGGCATAACCTTGCTTTGTTATTCCTTAGTCGAGGAGGCTTTTACAACAGTAGTACGCAAAATGAGTTCGTCCAATTCCGAGGAGAATTGGAAGGTCTTGTTTCCCGGGGATGACGAGCGAATCTGCTCGTCGTTCGAGACCAATCGGTTCTTCGTGTATGAATATGTTTTTAAGGAGATAGGGCTTCATTTTCCATTCTCGAATATTTAGGTGGTAGTCTTTGCCCATTTGGATTTGGCACCCTCACAGCCCAATCCAAACTCGTTGGCTTTTACCCGAGCATTCGAGATTGTTTGTGATTACCTTAATATTAGGGCCAGAATCCCCCTATTCATTGCCTGTTTCCATCTTCAACGATAGATGACCTCAGAGGTTCTGTTTGGTTGGGTTTCCTTGAAGCTGTCGAGGAAGTTGTTCAATGCATACTCGGAGTCTATCCGAATAGTTAAGAATAGGTACTATGTAGTTTTTCCCATATCTCAGAGGGCCATCGATTCCTTACTCTGCTGGGAGATTATGAAGGGTGATGATGGGAAGCCCCTACTGAGTGAGGACGGTAGGCAGAGGAGACATCAAGTTTAGAGATTCCGATTTTCCTGGAGCCGAAATCATTTTGACCGACAGACCGAGGAGTATATCACCCGTCCAGACGGCTTGGAAGAGGATGAATGGGCTAGCTATAATAAATTGGTGGCTTTCGTCGACAGCTTTGTTCCCGCCTAGTGCGTGACTAAGTGCGGGGAAATTATTCTTGACGAAGACATGGAGCCTATGCTCGTGGTTCATTTTATTAATATGAAGGGGCTCCTTGATTATGCTACCTATGAGGCCCTAACACTTTTAGGTAGCTTTTACATTGTTGTTATATTCTTGTTTTTTTCTTCGTTTTACTGATTTGTCTTTGTTGCTTGTTGCTGATAAAATGCCAAACGCTTAGGAGCATATGGTTAAGTTGGCTGTATCCAACAAGTCGAAGCAGTTGAAGAAAGGTCATCTTCCTAGGAGCGGTCTGGGTGGCACTTGGTTCCGCATCCGATGAGTTCGGGGAACTCCTCTTCTACTCCTTCTAGAGAGCACCCTTCCCCCAAGCAGATGACCTCGACTCGAAAGCGTCATCGCGTGGGGAGAAATAATGTTGACCTGACCGTGGAGGGCGCTGCAGACATGTACAAGCTACCTCCTTGTTTATTGCATCAGGGTTACTTTGAAGGGGGCTCCTCTTTAAAAGTTCCTCGAGCGGAATCCATGCATTTGGAGAATATTAATCAGCCGAGCAAAAAGAAAACCCTTGCTTATGATGATGCATGTTTGATGAGGATCTTAGAGCTGGTGGTGATCCATACTGAGGATGGGACCCCCTACTGTTAAAGAGGTTAAGGATGTCCACGCGACCAATGTGGCGCTCGAGGAGAAGTTGATCAAGCTTAGGTCAGAGAAAGAGGAGCTGGAAAGAGAGAAAGTGACGTTGATCGAGCAGACTGAAAAGCTGACCAAGTTGAACAAGGAGTTCGAGGACAGGATCACTACTTTGGAAGCTGATGCAGCCCCAGATGAAGATGAGACCGAGGAGATGAAGCAATTGAGGACTCGTACTGAGTTGATTTCCCGCCTCTATATGGCCAAGGAGGGCTGCATGGCTGCATGGCGAGGATAGCTTTAACAATGTAGTAGAGCAGCTGAAGATTGCTAACCCTGATGTTGAGTTTATCATGGCTGGGACCAGGTTTCTCTTTAGCATAGTTGATGGGAAGATCGTTGTCCCCGATTTCCTCAAGCTTGGCAAAGAAGAGGGAGAGGGTGTGCATCCTAGCCAGGAAGAAAAACCAAACTCTATCGGTTAAGTTTGTTATTTGTGTTTGTACGGCCTGCATGCTGTTTGTTTTTGTAATACTTTTGGGGGATTTTTCCCGGTTTGATGTAAAACCCAAACATTTTTGGTCCTCGTGGCTGTTACTTTGGTTATTTTTTTGGATGGGGCTTAGCCTTCCTTATGTAATATTTTGACAATTATGGTCTCTGTTGGCTGTTTTGATTTTACCTTACTCTTTACTAATATTTATGTATGCATGATTTGTATTCATCACTTTTGTTAAGTTTCCCATATTTGTATGCTCGTCTATTTAAGACGTCTATTTTGATTAAGAGTTTTGGGATTTTATCGGTAGTATTGAGGTTCTCCAGTGAGGGGAGACTCGTCGAATGACTAGGTATATTTCCAGGCATAAGACAGAGCTTAGGTCTCATTTGGGGCCT